ATATTTTAAATATTAGATATATAAATAACATGAAATAAATGATATGCATGTAAATCTTACTTATACGCGGGATTTAAGTTAACCGACAAAAACTTCTGCTTGGGGTTTGCTTTTCCCTGCTCTATTCGTCGTTGCTGTTCGGCTTCCTTCCTTCGCATTCGCATGTGTAGAGTTTTGCACGAGTCCGTTCTTCTGCTCCTTCGTCGCTATTCCACTTCGCTCCTTCGACGACTTTCCCTTCCTGTTGGATCGGAAGTTACGACATTTTGATCGGAAGCAACGACGGAAGCTCGCTAGCTGTGAAGGTAACTTTCTCCCTTTGGCGCGCTTCGTCGGCCAAATCTCGTAAATCCGCCGAACCGAAGGATTTGGTAAATTCGGGATTTACCACGAAAAGGGATATTTTTCCGTCAACTGCGGCCTCCATTTACCGTGAGATTTGATTTTGCGTTTTTAGCCCTTTGGCGGGATTTAGCTCAAATCTGCCTCAAATCCGGCCCAAATCCTGCATTCAAACAACCCCTTAAATATTTAAGTTTCTGTAGCCTAAATCCTGCTCAAAACCTGCATCCAACAACTCCTTAAAATTGCATTGTTACTGATTGGCACTTAAATCTTGCGTTAAAGCTGCTACTAGTAGCCCCTAAGAGTGGCTAAATTCATAGGGGCTATTGCTTTGGCTAGACATGTCAAGGCCTCTTAATCATTAGTATGTGGCCATGCAGTGGAAATTGGAATTCAGCCCAAAGTGCTGTCCTAGGTTATGTTGACACCAAAGGAGGTGGAATTGAGGTTGACGAGCATGATCATATTTGAATTTTGTTGTAGCTAGTTGACATTGGTTGACAAGCAGTTTCCTGTATGTGTGCTATTACTCGAACACGTGTTATGCATACTTAGTTCTATTATGAATCATTATTTTCGACAATGTTATTAATATCCTTTTATTTGTTTTCTTTTCTTTGTGCATATAAAAAAATAGCGTTGTTGTTTTGTTTTTTGAAATCTTGAGAATTTATTGTTGAATTTTTGATATGTTGCATCCAGGAAAATTACACCGTTTTGAAATCTTATTAAATTGCAATAGGAGACTTTTTATTGTGATTTAACTGTTTGATGTGTAGTTGATATGTGATTATTCGTTTTTCTTATAAGCATAGGTTGAATGATCCATCCACGCATTGGGATCTAAGAGTCTTCATTGGGTTTGATAGGTTGATACCTGAGGTGACATTCTTAGCAATGTTGTCTTTGGTTGAGCATTTGTAGTTCTTGTTGTCTCATTGATTCCTATTATTACTGATGCATTGTTTCATTCTTTTTTTTTTCTTCACTTCTGCAGATCTGAGTTATTGTTTTATATCACTTTCTTGTTGGATTATGTTTAGCTATTGCTCCTAATATTGATAGATTATTGTGCATATTGAAAATTTTTCTTCCATGTTTCCTTATATCCTTAAGTTTGGCACTACTTACAGATTTAAGTTCTTACCTTTATACATGATTTTTTTTTTCATATTAAGATTTTTCGTCAGTGCTAGTTTTGGAGTGATACTTATGGTGTAACAATTGTGTATATATTATTATTTGTTATGCGTTCTTAACTTTTAGACTTGTATCTTCTTGAGGTTGTAAAATGTTTTTAAAATGATGTATAATAGTATTTGTATACTTGTATTTTCCTTTCCGTTTTAAATTGATTTATATGGTTTGGTTGATTTTATACTTATCTTTTATATTAAATGTTTGATTTACTAGCTTTGCTATAGTTTTTTAGCAATTGCATATATGAAATTTGTGGATATTCAAGTGGTATATTGCTTATCCTTATTTAATAAAAAATATACTATTTGGCTTTATCATTTTAGATCAGGATATTCTTCTTTTGATGTCTTAAAAAATATGTACAAAATTTTTTTTACAAGTTGAAAAATGAATCTTTTCATTGTGAAACTTGTGATTTTGTCAAGCATAAATGAGTTTCTTTTCCAAACAAAATTGAGAGATATCATAGCCCTTCCTACCTTCTGGGGACCCTAAAAAATTTCTAACTTCTTAGAGGCCTGATGTTTTGTATCATTTATTGATGAGTGCACTCGAGTCTCTTGAATTTTTCACCTAAAAAATAAATATGATGTGAGCACTATGCTTCCTATTTTTCACACCATGATCCAGAGTCAATTCGGGGTAAAAGTAAGAAAATTTTGTTCCGATAATTCCAAAAATCAGTTTAACCAAACTCTATCCTCCTACTTTCAAAATAAAGGTAATATTCATGAGTCTTCCTGTATTCATATGCGACAACAAAATGAAATTGTAGAAATAAAAAATGACCATCTTTTTGGCCTCCACCAGGGCATTTCTATTCCACCACCATGTACCCAATTCTACTGAGGGGAAGCCCTTCTAACAGACACATCTCATAAACCGACTACGTTCAACAACTTTGGGACTAAAAATACCAATGAATATTCTATCCTCTTTTTACCTTGAACTTCGAACCCATAACAACCTTACACACAGAATCTTTGGATGCACTGCTTATGTTCGCACTCACAGTCCAAATAAAGGAAAATTAGATCCAATAGCACTCAAATGTATCTTTGTTGGATATTCATCAACCTAAAAAGGTTATAAGCGTTATCATCACTCTACCAAGAAAACTCTTGTATCTGTTCACATTACTTTTGATGAATAAAAATCTTATTTCACCAAATCTTATCTTTAGGGGGAGACTGAAATTAAGGAAGATGAGGAAAATGAGCTTGCCCTTCTTGACCTTCAACTCCACCTCAAACCAATCCACCTAAACCTGAAATTAAAGCCAGGAAAATTGAAAACAAAGCTATTATGGATAATACGAAGTTTGTGAAAGTTTATTCAAGACGTACAAATCCGAATTATGCTTCAGAGCTGATCCAAGAATTTGAATCGTCTTTTGAAATTGAGATAAATACAAATTCCTAAAAAAAATATTTCTTGTACCTCATAGTCAGCTTTGTATCCTTCCATAACTTCTCACTTTCACACAAAAATTTTCTGGTTACACTAAACGATATTTATATTCCTAATGATATTCCTGAAGCCTTGTCTAATGAAATTTGGATAAGTGCCATGAAAGATGAAATTTATGTCCTAAAAAAGAACAATACATAGGAGATCATCGACCTACCAGTAGAGAAAAAATCAGTTGGCTGCAAATGAGTGTTCTCTGTGAAATACAAAATTGATGGTGCACTGGAAAGTTTTAAGGTAAGATAGGTAGCGAAAGGGTACACTCAGACGTATGAGATGGACTACTGAGAAACTTTTGCACTTGTGGCCAAGATGAATACCGTGAGGATCCTGCTCTCACTAGCAGCTAAATATAACTGGCATTTGGATCATTTGGATGTCAAAAATGCATTCCTAAACGAGAACTTTGAGAAATAAATATTTATGTAGATTACACCAAGATTCAAGGAACAATCTAGGGGTAACAAAATGTGTAGGTTAAAAAAAGGTTATGTATGGGCTAAAGCAGTCACCTAGAGCTTGGTTTGAAAAAATTTTAAAAGTCATGCTACTTAATGGTTATCGGCAGAGCCAAGGAGACCACACATTATTCTCATGCTTCTCGCCCTCAATTTCAACGACCCTCCATGAGCTCCTCACCCTCACATACGGCGATCCTCCTCAAGCTTCTCATCCCAACGTTTGACGTCGCTACCATCCCCAAGCGTCCAATGTCCCTTTCGTACTACTTTTGTTTAATATATCTGCCTTCCAAAATTTACCTTGGAACTTAGTTCGTTAAAACTCCCTCGCCAAATAAGAAAAGCGAGTGGAGGCCGAGGCCGAATTTTTGGAGCTCACACTTGTGTCCGGTGCTTTTTCCATCCCAAGTGTCCAATGCCCCCCTCGTACCACCCATGTTCGAAGACCCTCCCCAAGCTCCTCTCTTTCATGTATGACGTTGTCCTAAGCTTCTAACATCTGTATCATCTCAATCGCCCGACGTACCTCCCGCTTTTGATGTCCCTCCTTGAGCTATTTATCTTCTCCCTTGATAGAGATGCTACGATTTAAATCTGTATTAGATCTTAATTCTCCCAAAATTAATACATTTTTTAAGGTAACAAACCTATTTTTATTTCTTGTCAAAAGATTAAAAAAATTATCCCAATTAGCCCCTTGCTTCCTATTCAAAAATTGGTATTTTGATAAGATAATATTACATTTACTAGTAGTAAGGCTTATGAGCTATTAGCCTTGAATTTGATTACAATTATTGCTTTATTCTACATAATTACTTATTTGTGTTTTTATAATAAAGATTGATTTGCCTTTAATTATTTCTTTTATCTTGAATTGGTGGAAGGTCAACCAATGTGAGAAAAACACATTGTATTTCAAGTTCATTATGTCGAGAAAATTTTGTAAGAATTGTATGTTGTCAAGGGTTGGGTGACGAGCGATGGTAATTTTCATTATTATAATTAGCCTTATCCCACCTATGAATTCTCATTCTTCCCTCATTCCAAACTACTTGAATTACTTTTGCATTGTCTTATTTTTAATAGATGCAACTCACTTTCTCTTTCTATTATAATTCTTTCTCAATTTATCTTTTCTAGTTTTTTCTAATATTCATTTTAACTTCGTCTTTTTTTTTTCACTCTTAACTTGGCTGTAAATGACTTTTTTTACTACCATCACTCTAATCCATAGTATATAGCCAGCATAGTCATAGTTTTATAAAACTGAAGAGGGATTGTAACGTTTTCTTTTGAATATTTATTTATATCTAGATGTTATCCACCCAGCTAACCATATTTTATCTTTTCTTTTCTAGTTTTGACGGATTTGAAATTTTAGGCATCTGACAAATATGACATGGTCAATACTTAATAGAAGTGTAGAGATGATTTTTGCTGTTTCTTTAGTTGAATATGTTTAGCACGTCAATTCATCCGTCTGAATCTTAAGAGTATATAACACAGATTTGTTCTTTCTACAGGTGATTCCGTTCTAAAGTTTTGCTCAACTCAACGAGGACTGGCCTATTTATGCCATTATTTCTGCAGTGACAAATAGTTTTATCATAGAAGTTACAACTTGTAACAGTTGATGTGATATCTAGAATCATCAGCATGGGAAAGTCTTTAGCCCTGGTACTCTCCGGTACACTAATATTCTGATTCACTTAATTATATTTTTGCACTATAGTTAAAAAAACAAAACAATATGTTTAATTTGTGTTCTATCTTACAAAACAGAGATACGTGATGGCTGAAAGTATAGGTAATAATGATGTGTTGTTTTGTGAAAATAAATGACTTTTTTTGTACTTATGGAAATTGGTGAGGGAATGCCAATAGGATTATTTTGGTTGTTCTTTATGCTAATAAAGATGGACGAATGTTCTTGTTTAACTTATTTTAAATTATGGCATCTCACTTTTTGTTCAAGAATTTATTACGGACATTTTCTGGAGAAAGAACTCGGGTTTTATTTGTGTGGTGCTTTGTACGTGCATAATTGAGCTCTTATAAATATCTGCTGCTGAGTGCTGAGTGAATTTATGAAGTTCTTAATTACATTTATGATGTGCATTTTTTCCAAATCCTATATTTGTGAGTCCTCAAATGAAGCAATGCGTTTTCTTTTGGAAGTAATGAAGTCGGCCTATAACAAACAATAATTCAAGTTTTGAATATGTCAGATCACTAGGGTGGAATGCCTACTTGATTGTTGATAAAGTTCAATAGATCAAACTATTTTAAGTGATTTCCTCTCCGGAAAGGCATCATTAGTCTTATCCTATACAAATTCCTCTTGGGATGAGTTGATAATATCGCTTTTCATTGCGGCTTAGAGTTTCATAGCAATAGCTTTATTGTATAGTGTTAGTCTACAACCTACTTTATGGAATGCAATTACTATACATAGACTTTGGTAGCATTACGAATTAAATAAACCCTGCAGGATTGCTTGCATCTTGGATTGCCACTGTTTTATGTTACCCCTACTTGGGATGAGGCTAGCGCTGATGATGTGATGAATCTTTGGTATTTGTGTTCTTTCATATTTCATTCCTTTAACAAGAAGTTTGTTTTGGGCTGGTTTATGTTATAGCTGAAGTTTATTTTAAGAAATTGTGTTCTTTCATAATTCATTCCTTTAAGAAGAAGTCTGTGTGGGGCTGATTTATGTTATAGCTGAAGCTTATTTTAATAACTGGCATTGTGTTTCAACCACTTAGTCTCCTTTAATTTTACAGGTTATAATTTTATTGTCTACAGTTATATCAGGAATGTCAGATGGCCTTTTCTGTATGAAGCTGGGTGATTCAAAAGTGTAAGTTACCATTTGGAGATCAGTTGTAGTTTAGTTCTTTAGATAATCAATTTGCTTTTTGTTCTTATTTTTCATTTTTTTATTTTTTTATTTTCTAATATGTTATAATTGAATTATAATGAATGAAATTTCATAAATTGTTTCTTCATAACTTATTGATTTGAAGCTGGTGGTGGCATATCGTATTTGATCTGTGCAATATTCTCCCTTGTAAAAAAATACTAGGAATCACCCTATGCTACTGCCCTGGGAAAAAAACACTGTTTGGAAAATTTAGGATTTTCATGTAAATTGGCGTACTCAATGCACAGAGGGTTGGAGCTTATGCCTTTGTAGGGTTTAGGGAGGATGTATGTGGAGTTATACCTATTTTTGCATAGAGGCTGTTTCTGTTACTTGAACTCAGGGACTTCAGAATTGGCAACTTAACAATTGCTCTAGACCATCTCTCTAGAGAGAATATTTTAATAAATACATAATTTTATTATTTATTACATGCGATAAAACCCCTATTTCACATTGAAATTCAAAATTCAAACTTAATTCACAACTCAAATAAAAAAAACCCTTAAAATTTTGTCATCCAATTCAAACTAAAAATAATTCTAAAATTAATTACTTTTAAATAGAATAAAATTATAAAAGCGGCCATAAATGCTACAATAATTTAGAATAATTTTATTTCAAACATTGTAATTGAATAGATAGATATGAGCTCTCTCACGGTTAGAGCAAGACATACCTGAAAATTTCTATTAATGCTAACTCATTCTCTTGATACAATTTTAAGTCGAGACAAGTTGGAATATGGCTTAGCTTGAGCGCTCTTATACTAAAAGAACTTTGTTAGAACTGTGGTGACTTCACTATCTCAAATGTCCAGAGTTCTAAATTAGCTTGAGATAGCCTTAAGCTTTCTCACGACTAAAGAAACCATAGCATAAGGTGGAATTTTCTGTCTTTGTTAACTCATTCCCTTTGTATAATTTCGAGTCTAACCAAGTTGGATTATGGCTTAGTTCACTTGAGTTTAGTTTGCTGACATCTGTAAACATGCCTTTGCTAGTTCCATGTTCTCTCAGGTGCATGTACCCTTTTTCGGTCATCATAGTAGAATCAGAGAATTATTGCATCAAAGTAGCGTCAAATTATACTAAGGAAATTATTGTACTTGGAGTTTCCCTTTATGCGTATGGGGCTGAGCAGATCGTAGCTTTATATGACATCAAAAGCAAGCAATTTATTTTCTCACTGATTTTGTCTTCTTAGAACACCATGGTAGTTATACAATTACTCAAAACTTTGATAGAGATTATTATAACATTATTCTAAAGTTGACTGTTCTTTCTTTAACCTACAGTTAATGTGCTTGATAATTTATCTTTGCAGTCTAAGAGCTGACAATGGGCATGGCCAGAAAAACTGTGAGAATTGCGATAACGAAAAGGTTTTAAAGCGTTTCCTTTTAATCTTTCTGAACATATTAGTAGTTGGCGTTAAATTTGTTTCCTTTAAACTTTTTATATCACAGTATCACACTTCCACATGATAGGTTTTGATTCATGTTTTTAGGTGTACTACTTATGTATGCTTTCATTTCTATTGCTGCATTTTTTGGGATCTTTTTGTAAGTGAATACATTCTTGTACATGTACGTCTTAAATTAACAATCCGGTCATATTATCCAAAAAAAACCATAAAAATTGCATAAATGATACTTGCTATTTACAAATACTCTTAATATATACATGTATTAGCATGCACTTCTTAGTTTATATATTAGTAAAAACTCAATCATCTGTGGTAGATAAGTGATGTAGATGATGAATGTGATGGTTTGGAGATGATGAGGATGAATTGTCTTTAAGTTGCTTGGTGGATAAAAGAAGGGAGGCTTGTATTCATATCACTTGAATTTTTTTTTTTTCATTTAAAGGAAAGATAAATAAAAGGAAATTAATCAAAATACAATCAAATCGAATAATTTTGGATCTTTCATATAAAATCTTTATTTTGAAATAATCCACTAAAATAAGCTTTCCTTTTTATTACATGTAAAATAAATCAAATAATATTTTGTAGCCGATTTAATGCTGTGTTGGATGTTGATGATGTGATGCTTTATAATGATGGCGCATTGCATCAATAATGCTGTTGAAGTTTGATTTTTTATTGCATGATGCCGACAAGGTTACAATGATACTACACCATGAATGTGTTACTGGTGTTTGCAAATACCATAAGCTACCTTTTTATTTCCAGCTATCCATCCACCTTTTTCTCTTCTTTCTTTTTTTATCGATTAGTCCGTTACTAATATTTTGCGTTGCTTACTCTTACATTCGGCATCTTCCTTTTTTGTTAGTAGTTCATCCATGATTTATTGTTTAATTAACAGGAACATAGTGTCTCAATGGAAAGCTTGACTGGGGACACTATGATTATTAATCCATGCTCTAAATTATTTTTTGTTTTTTTCAATTCTTTCAGGGCATTGATATAACTGTGTTATATACTGATGTTTCTGGTGGTGTCCGGACGCGTACAATAAATTCAAGAGATTTATCTTCTTCCTGGGTTTGGGAGAATCCTGATGATGGGAAACATGCAACTGAAAAAGCTAAAGTGGTAATCTTTGCCCGTTTTCATTAGATCAATCTTTTTATAAAATAAGATAGACATAGCAATTATACCAAAAAAAAGAGAGGCATAAAAAGTAGTTCCTTGAGCATACAAAAACAGGAGAAACTTTTTTTTTTCTTTAATATTCGAAGATGAAATCGCGAGGCTTTTATATTCACAACTCTACCCTATCATGCAAACTTAATTTGGTATACTTTAGGTTGGAAACTTCTCATTTTTCACTTCAAGGATTTTATAGTGTTAGTTCGTTATTTTCATTATGGAGAAAACTAATGTTTTAATCAAATTCTCAGATAGAGTTGCCACCTCAGAAAACTATGAGCAAATCAGAAAATGATATTCGACCTTTTTTTGATCAGAGAAAGCAAACCAATTCCATCACCCCCTTAAAGCTTAAAAGACAGGTGAACGCTTGCTACCATATCCTTATTTTATTTTTCGGTTTATTTTTGCTAATGCTTATTTTCTATAGCGATTGAGACAAAGGAGGAGAGAAAAGAGAGCTGCAGAGCTGATCAATATGAGTGAAGAAAGTGAACTCGAGATTGAAGCTAGAGCTATTAAACGTTCCAAGCAGTTTAACAACACAACAAGAGGAAGATACGGTATATGGAGAATTGAATATCAGAATCCAATCTCTGACTCCCTCTTGAAGCTCATGAAAGATCAGATTGTAATGGCGAAAGTATATGCCAGCATAGCTCATTCTATGAAGAAGATAGATCTTTATGATTTACTTCTTAAACACATTAGGGAAACTCAACATGCCATTGAAGATGCAAGCATAGATGCTGATATGCAACAAGAGTATTTTATGTCAACTTTTCCTTTGTTTTATGTTTCTAGCAATTCTTGTTAATAATTGCTGGAGACCTCTTTTTCTGTATGCAGTGCTCTCGAATGCGCTAAAGCGATGGGTCATACTTTATCTGTTGCGAAAGATGCTCTTTATGATTGCGAAGTGGTGGATCGAAAGCTTCGAGCCATGATTCAGTCTGCAGAAAGTAGCATAAATGTTGTTAAAAAGCAAAGCACATTTTTGATACAGAATGCGGCGAAGACGGTTCCTAGACCACTCCATTGTCTTCCCTTATACTTGGCCACTGATTACTACTTGCATAGATACCATACTGAAAAACTATCAGATAATAGCAAGTTCAGTGATCCATCGCTGTACCATTACGCTATATTCTCGGATAATGTACTCGCAACATCAGTGGTAGTTAACTCAACTGCAGTACATGCAAAGGAACCCGAGAAGCATGTCTTTCACATAGTTACTGATAGATTGAATTTTGCTGCTATGAGAATGTGGTTCATCAAACATCCTCCTTCACCTGCAACAATAGAAGTGCAAAACATCGATGAATTCAAATGGCTCAACTCATCTTACTGTGCAGTTCTTCGCCAGCTTGAATCGGCAAGAATCAAAGAATATTACTTTAAAGCTAATCATCCCTCATCACTTTCTACTGAGAATGAAAATCTCAAATATAGGAATCCAAAGTACTTGTCTATGCTTAATCATCTTCGGTTTTATATGCCTGAGGTTTACCCAAAGCTTAATAAGATACTATTCCTTGATGATGACATAGTTGTGCAAAAGGATTTGACTCCTATTTGGTCTATAGATATGAAAGGCATGGTAAATGGCGCAGTGGAGACCTGCAAAGAGAGCTTTCATAGATTTGATACCTACTTGAATTTTTCAAGCCCAATAATTTCAAATCATTTCAACCCACAGGCTTGCGGTTGGGCATTTGGCATGAACATCTTTGACTTGGTTGAATGGAAGAGGCGAAATATTACTGGAATATATCACTACTGGCAAGACTTGGTAAGAAAAACTCTTAGCTTCTTTGGATATATTTTCATATTCTATATATTTGCATTTAATAAGTTGCTTCAATTCAATCTATTTTAAAGGACTTTTTATTGTACAGAATGTGGATCGAAAACTGTGGAAGCTGGGCTCACTACCTCCGGGCTTGATCACTTTTTACAACCTGACATATCCTCTTGATCGAAGATGGCATGTTCTTGGTCTTGGCTACGATCCTGCAATCAACCCCTCAGAGATTGAGAATGCTGCTGTCATTCATTACAATGGCAACTATAAGCCTTGGCTGGATCTTGCAATCATCAAGTATAAGATGTATTGGTCCAAGTTTGTGAATTATAATGACCCCTACGTACAGTTCTGCTCCATCGCTCAATGACCTCAACTAGAGGAAAAACACTATGGTTTCGTTTGGGATGATTTTCTTCCTATTTCGTAAAGCAGCTTTTTAGTATAAAAGTTTTATTTTTTGTGCTAGAAAATTGCTTCAAGAAGCAGTAAGAAAGCCGTTCTAAATGGAGCCTTAATCTTGAAAAGTTTATTCTTTATTCTTTCTTCTGGCCATTTGTCAACCTTTTTTTTTTTAATAATGCATAATAGAAAGTTGTAGCTAAGCGAACTTCTGGCAGCAAATGCATTGTCTGACACTTTCAGGTCTATAGAAAATGCTATTATGCTAAAAAAATATATTGTTTCTGATTTATAAGCATTTTTCGGTCTATATCTTAAATAGCTTCTTTTTCTTCATGTAGATTTTTTAATTTTATATAAATTTAATAGTTTTAAATCTCAGACTGAAAATATTACTGATATTGCAACATATGTTTAGTATTTATTTTACTGATTCCAAAGTTATTAAATATTTTGAATTTATTAATTAATAGTATCAGAAGCGTAATACATAAAAAAAATGATACTAAGAAACTAATTATTTCGATTGTGAACTATTTGTTATTAAAATGTTTCATAAAAATATTTATTAAAATCATTCAATCGACTCTTTCAATTTAATTTGGAAAATAAATTAACCACTAAGATTTTCGGTATGCTCTGGAAAGCTGAAGCAGTTGGTCATCTTCTGATTCTGAATGCGTGTCCCAGTAAAATCTCATGCTTCACTTCTGCTCGGAGAATTTTCATCCCAGAATCAAGTTTTCTTTCGCTATTATGAATCAAAGATGGCTTCTTTTCTGAAATTGGAAGCCTTTCATCCATTCTTCAAGCACTGTGCAAACTTTCAGTTAGTAAAAGAAGGAACTTTGGCTCATGCCGATGCGATCAAAACGGGCTTCGATTCCTACACATCCGCAGGCAACTCGATCATGAGCTTCTACTTGAAACTGGGCATGAAAGGTTGTGCGAGGAATGTGTTCGATGAAATGCTGTGGAAAGACTCGGTTTCTTGGAATGCTTTGATTCATGGTTTTTTGAGCCAAGGAGATTCTCGGCTTGGTCTGTGCTTATTTATAGAAGCCAAGGCTTGCGGCTTTGTACCAAATCTGTCTACTTTGGTCCTTGTTCTTCAGGCTTGCTGGAAATTAAAAGCTGTGACAGAAGGTCAGTGCTTTCATGGCTTCATTGTTAAGAGTGGATTTTCATCTTATATCTCGCTTCAGAATTCCTTAGTGAGCTTCTATGGAAAATGTAATAATGTGGAGTCTGCGCAGAAGCTATTTGATGAAATCTCTGAACGAGATGTCATCTCTTGGAGCTCGCTGATCAGTGGTTATGTTCAGACTGGGGGTGCAGTCAATGCATTGCAATTGTTCAGAAAAATGTCTATGGAGGATGGCATAGAAATGGATGGCCTTGTTTTAGTTAGTGTTCTTCAAGCTTGTAGTTTTGTTGGGGATGTTAATTATGGAAGATCAGTGCATGGCCATGTGTTCCAAAGAGGATTTGAGGCTGATTTGTTCATCAATAATTCTCTCATTGATATGTATTCAAAATGCTTTCATATGAATTCTGCCTACATGGTTTTTATTCAGATGGCTCAGACAAACCTGGTCTCCTGGAATAGTATCTTATCTGGGTTGGTTGAGAATGACAAGTATATGGAAGCATTGCTATTGCTTGAATCAATGAAAAAGGCGGCAGTCGAGGGTGATGCATACACTGCTGTTATCCTCTTGCAAGCTTGCAAGATGCTTGGGCTGGAAGCATTTTGCAGGTCGATCCATGCTCTAATTATCCGCAGGCTGTTTGAGCTGAATAATTTCGTGATGAACTCATTATTAGATGCATACGCAAAATGCGAGCTCATGGAACTGACGCTTAGACTGTTCCGGCAAATGCGAAGCCGAGACGTGGTCTCATGGAGCACAATGATATCTGGGTTTTCACACTGCGGCGAACCTCACAAAGCTGTTGCTTTCTTCATCCAGATGAGATTGGGACGACATGGACTGAATTCCGTCACCCTGCTGAGCCTCTTGGAAGCGTGTTCTACACTTGCAGACCTCAAGCTCTCCAAATGCGTGCATGGTGTGGCAGCTCGGAGCAGCTTTTCGCACAATTTATCGGTCGCAACCGCACTCCTAGATGCATATGCAAAGTGTGGGAGCCTGAATTCATCCAGGAAAATCTTCAGAGGAATGACTGAAAAAAACCTGCTGTCTTGGAATGCAATGATAGCGGCCCTTGGGATGAATGGCTGTGCAAGGGAGGCTCTCGCTGCTCTTGAGGAGATGACAGTGCAGAATGTGAAGCCAAATGGTGTCACAATGCTCTCCATTTTGTCTGCTTGCAGTCATGGAGGTTTAGTACAGGAAGGTCTCTTGTTATTCCAAAGGATGTCTGAAGATTTCTATGATCTAAAGCCTAGAATGGAGCATTATTCATGTATTGTGGACATGCTAGCCAGGGCTGGAGATGTTGTGGGTGGCTTTGAGGTGATCAAGAGAATGTCTGAAGAAGGGGTGGAGGCTGCTCCTGCTGCTTGGGGTGCTCTGCTCAGTGCCTGCAGAAGATTCGGCGATCGAGAGATTGGAGAAAATGTGGCATCCCATGTTCTTGAGTTGGAGCCTCTGCGCTCGGCGGGATATGTTCTTTCTTCGAGCATGTATGCCATGGCAGGGTTGCAGGATGAGACGGCAAGGTTGAGGTTATTGATGAAAGAGAAAGGTGTGAGAGTTGTCAGTGGTTATAGCTTGGTACATGCCAAGAGGTTTCTTTCTTGGGATGAATCACACCTTATGACTGAAGAGATATATTCTATGGTTGATCTCTTGCATGATTGTATAAAATGGCCGAATGATGAAACTTAGGCTTCGTTTGAGACGATCTTTCTACTACTTTTCAAAGCAGCTTTTTAGTTAAAAAATTTTATTTTTTATTAAAAAATTGTTTTAAGAATCAGTTAGAAAGCCATCTCAAACAAAGTCTTATTCGTTTGATGAGCTAATGAGCCATTCTTAAGCTAATTTTGGCACATGCAAATTCAGTATAACGTATTGCATTTGTGGAATACATTAAACTATTTATCAAAATCAAATTTTCTATTGAAGTTGAACAACATCAACTTCAAATCATTGGGTTTTTTTTTGTTGCTTAAAAAAAATTAAAAAAAAAACTATTTTTTACAACAATTTGAAAAGTTTATTTTCTCTACACAGCAGATTAAAGAAGCAATAATAAAAAAAAAAACTATTCAAAAGGAGTCTGCCAATGTAAACTATGAATAATAATATATATACCCACGGCATTGAAGCTTCTTCTACGAAATTAAAATCTCACTATCCCTGCTTGTTTCCAGCTTGCTTATCTTCCTCCTCGGCAACCTCCGGCGGCGGCGGAAGGTTCAGATCAACAATGAACCCTTTCTCCTCTGTCTTCCTAGCCACTACTTCCCCTCCTGGTCGTTCACGATGAACTCTCTGATGAATTCTCATCCCATGATAAGTGAAAAACTGTCGTCCACACACTCGGCAAGCAACTGTCTTCCCATCTCCTCCTAGTCCTCGTTCTCCTCTGACGTCCGCCGCTGCTGGCCCCACCCTCACCGTCGTCTCCTTGGCTTTCGTATTGCATCCAATCACTCCCCTGTGACTCGCTCTATGCCCTCCCAGCGCTTGTTTCGTCTTAAACACTCTCGCACATTCTCGGCATGCGTATCCTCCTGCCGCTGTTGCCTCCTCTTGCCTCCTCCGACGCCGCCATCTCTTCCTTCCTCTGCAAGCTTCTTCTCCCTCCGCCAAGGGTCTAACTCCTCTCCACTCCCTATCGGGATGGCATCTCATGTGCCCGAACAGAGCCTTCCAAGTCCCGAACCGCCGCCCACAAACATAGCATTCCGGCTGTACGGACATAGATTTATCTTCCTCCTCCACACTGGCGGCGACCGCATATCTCCTTCCCTCCAACGAAGACGAGGAAGATGATGATTCCGATGAAGAAGGGGAGAATGGCTGACGACTGGGGCCAGGGGAATCAGAGAAAGGATTCATGAGGCCGGGCTTCTGATTAATTAAAATTTAAGAACAGGTAAAGCGCCGACGGAGGAAGAATTCTTAAATTATTTGTACAGCCGCCTTTCTGTCAATGGATGCGTCCATTCTTCCTCCCCTTTTTCTTCTTCTTCTTCCTCTTCTTGTTTTAAATTTTGATTAGTCGTTTTATCGTTTCCATTCTTGCTGGCGGACTGGCGGTTAATACTGGAAGGCCGTTTTCATTTGAATTAGTTCACTCTTCTTTTGGACCCAATAATGAAACCATACTTATGTGTCGCACAGCAAAGGATGGCATGCCTCCTCTCTGTGCTCCAACTTGCTTAGCACATTAAGGGCCTAAGGCTTTGTTTGGTTGGATTGTTGTTTATTTAAAATGAAATTTTAGAAACAAATGTTGAGAAAAAGGGGTTTCAAGTATAAAATTTTCTTTAAGTAATATTTTTTAAAATGCTTATTTTTAGACACTGAGTTTGAAATGAATTAAGTAGAAATCAAATAACTTTTATAACCGATAAAAAAAGAGAGTTACGTAAAACGAAATTATATAAAAGCATTTAAAAGTAACTATTTTCTACTTCTTGAAATTAAAAATGAGAAATTAAGCCTAATCAAATGACGTCTAAGGCCTTGTTTGAGAGGACGCTTTTCAAAATTATGTTTTTGTTGTTGTTTTGATGGGACGCTTCTATAACAATATTTTTTTAGGGAATTTTATTTTTCTACTATTTTGATAAATTTTTTTGTTGTTTGCTTTTCGCTTAGAAAATTTCATTCTCTTAATCAATATTTCAAAAACTATATTTTACAAAAGTGTCGTATAACCAAACGAAGCCCTCATGATTGATCATGTATGATTGTACGGTGAGCTTAGCCTTAGCATTTAATTTTTTCCTAAATAGTTATATATATATATATTTATATATTAAATAATAGGCAAGTACATAAGAGTAAGAAAACGTTAGATGAGTCTCTTTTGTCCATGATAAATATTATTGACTAAAATTTAAGATAAATATAATGGTTATAATCATGATAAAAATTATTTAGGGGTGTAAGTGAGTCAATAGAACTCCAAATTGACTCGATGAATGACTCATGAGATAAATTTGCTGAGTTAATGAGTCAGATTAGCTTGAACTAGCATCGAGTACTGGAGCAGGAAGAAAATGAGTATTAATTAATTAGAAGCTTCAAATCTAGAAGAAAATGATTCAATTCTAAGCTGCTGCCTGAATTCCTTTATAAAAGCCTCTACTTTTGCATTAAGCTCGTCTGCATCAACTCCCTCCTTATCTTCAGCTTCTTCTTCTTCTTCGTCTTCCCATTTATTCTTCTCCTTAACAGAGCTATTCTTCCTCTTGCTGCGATGGGAGCGGCGTCGCATATATCGATGGTTGGAAGGAGTAAATAAGCTTTGGTGGATAGAGACCAAAACTATGGAAGCAACGATGAGGTGGATTAGAAGGCTTAAGAGGAGAGGCGGTGCAGCGGTGGTGGCCGACCATCGCCGGAAAACAAGAGAAAGGAAAAGTTTCATGCCGGAGATGAAAAGGGCCGCCGTCGCTGCAAAGGCAATGGTCTCCAATATCTCTGTTTCCATTCCTCCTCTCTTCCTCCTCTTCTCTTCCTCCATCTTCACAACCTTCTCTGCAAACGCTACTACTACATATAGACCCTTCCAAGCTAATATTTCATGATTATGTTCTTATATTTATGATTATGTCGCTATCACGCTCACTTTTTAAGAAAAAATAAGCGCTTAATTTAATTAGGATCATTCGAAGCTATTCTTTTAAAGTCTCAGAAGGTGAACGTGTCAATAGATCAGTGGTCGTATTCCGTGTTCGGTTGAATTGGCCACAATGACGGATTCCGACAATGGTGTTCAATTCCGCGTGTTGAAACGTACTAATGATGGTATAGAAATGGTACACTCAAGTAAAAAAAAAATTATGTTAAGAAAATTCAAATAAAAATATTTTATTAATTCATCTAATTGAATATTTATACAAAATAAATGATTATATGAATTGCTTTAAGCATTAAAATATTTCTTGGTATAATTTTTTAGCAACAAATATTAATTAATATATTGGAATATCGGAGCATTGATTGTAATATTATGAATGCATAAATAATTGACAATTGTGCAAGTGCCTAGAAAAGAAAAAATGTTAATTCTGAAATTAAATATACTCTGAAACTTTGGTAATCTATGTTTACATTCAATTTCTTTTTGCTAGTCTTTATATCATCGTGTTATTTACTAATTTATATTGGGTACTAATATCAAGGATGGATAAGGAAGGGAATCTATTGAACTACTTGTGATCATTTTATTTCTTTTAATATTTTAGAAAAGGGAAGCGTCCGGTAGAGCAAACAGCGTACGAGCAAGATCCTCTGAGTTTGAGATATTAATTTTTTTTGTAGTTCAAGTTTATTTACTCTAATATACAGACATTTGGAAGTTGACTTGATTTGTGTATCTAAGTTTTGATAAAATAAAAATTATTTTTATTTGTTTTTATATTTTGAATTTTAGTAGCTATGATTATCTTTGATTAATAGATGAGTGAATTAATTATAGGTTTAAGTGATCAAAGCATTCCATTAGATCCTATGGCGTCATAAGATGATATCAGAGCAATGATTTGGAAGGATTGAGAGCTATAACCAAAGTTATAGGAAATATTTTTTGTTAGTAGGGGAAAGGAGTTTAGATTCTCGAGTAAAACTTTTTTGTTAGTTTTATTAAGTATGTGTATAATTGAATGCCCTTACTCTTAATATAGATTAAAGTGTTGCTGCGTCATAAACCCCCAAGAGTAAGAGGCGATTGATAGATAAAGTTTCGGTTATGCTATAATTAGTCAAAGTATTGTGCGGGCTATGAATTTTGATTTAATAATGATGTTTGTTGGGTTAGTGGCTCAACTAATGAGTGATGCTCAGGGTTAGATGGTAGAAGTTAAAGGACACGAAGTTGACAAGTATTTATTGTTATTTCTTAGATTGAAACCACCTTATTTTCCATGTACAATTGAGCCTCAGGTAGCTAAAGACTAGTTCATGATATATAGAATTCGTTTGATAGTATGTAGTGTCCTTATGACAGAAAAGCTTCATTGGTTATATTTCTATTGGATGGGGGGAAGCATAGAGCTAATGGGTAGGCTAGTAAGAGGAGAAATTCCAGGGAGGGACAAATTCAAAGATCAGTGGGAAGTTTATGGAGACAATCAAAAGTTGGTTTGTGCTACCATCTTCCAGCCAGCACATGCAAGAGTCCTTTCTAAGATTGGTGCAAGGGAGAGAGACAGTGATGTAGTGTGAGGCAGAGTTCACAACTCTTGTCAGATATGTTAATCAGTTGGTTAGTACTCCATAGGAGAAGTGTTATCAATTTTTGCAAGGTATGAAGGAAAGTTTGAGCCATCCCATGAATATATTCTATATTAGTGACTTTTAAACCTCATAGAATGAGCTAGAGTAGTGAAGAATGACTTATGACCACCCCACTGTGGTGAGATGCAAGCATGAATCATTTTGGACGAGAGCCCTCTAGGAGTGTATTCAATGGAAAGAAGTCCATAGTAGAGCTTGGTGATTTCAGGAGGGGAGGATTTATTGTATCTAGGAGTATTAAAGGATTTGTATTAATTAATAATGTTTTTTTTTATGTGTAGTTTTCATTAGAGGAAGCATACAAGTCACAATTTTATGTATATGGATGAGTGATTTAGATGTGGTCAGTCAGGTCATAAGATGGCGTAATACTCGCAGAAAGTGTCAAAAGGTAGGTGCAAAGTTAGGGCAGTCAGAGTTATAGGCAGTAGTCAACCCCTTCTATAGTAGTCGGTGAGACCTCTAGAGTACCTCAGTAAGAGTCGATTTTAATTATCAGTGTAACCCTGATGCAACCTAAATTATATAATTTGACTCAATTTGAGGCAAAGGAGGTACTATATATAATTACAAATATATAATTTATTTCTTGCTTATTTTGATGTCTTTTATTCAATTCTAAGGTAAGACAATCTTTTTTGTTTGAACATGTGTTGGATGATATGAGTTTGATTTTGGATGTGCAAGTGTCTAGCTTGTCTATTTTGTTACTCACTAAGTTTTCTAGTAGCTGGAAAGATCTATAAGTGTGAAATTGAGATTACAAATAGGATTCTAAAATCTAAACTAATGGTGTTACCTCTAAAGGAGTTTGATGTGATAGTAAATAAAGACTAATTGAGTAAGTATCAGGCTCAGATATTTGATTGTAATAAGAAGGGAGTGAGTTTGCTTGTAAAGGGAGATGTGTTTTACTTTCATGGTGCTAGAGTGCCTTATAATCCCTAATTTTTGTATTGCAAGTAGATAAGCCTTGGAGAAAGGAGAATTATATATATTTTTTCCTATGTGAGAGATTTGAATAAATTAGATAGAGGTCTAAGAATTGTTCCAGTTGTGAAGTAATTCTATGATATTTCTCCTAAAGAATTATATAGGTTGCCTCCATAAAGAGAGGTAGAATTATATATTGAGATGGTGCCCAGTACGACTCTGATAAAAAAAGACACTATATGGAATGACACCTAGAGAATTATAAGAGTTAAAAGTTCAATTATATGAGTTGTGGATAAAGTTTTTATCCAGCCTAATGGTATTTTAAAAAAACTTTCTTAAGCAAAGCACAAAACTAAAATAAAAATAATTCACCACAAAGAGTAACGGATGGGAAATTAAATGCGAAAATAAAACAAAGAAAGATCACACCGGATTTATAGTGGTTCGGTCAAACACTGACCTACGTCCACTCCTCAGAGGCACCATCCGAGTATTGCACTAACTAAGTCTCTCCTTTAGCTCCCTTAGCTAGGCGGAGAAGCCTTTACAACATACTCTTTTTCACCAACCCCGATGTGGCAGAGAACCGACTCCTTTTGCTTCCTCCTGAAGCGGGCAGAGAACCCGGAACTTTTGCTGAAGTAGACCTCCCAGGAACCTCCCAAAGACGAAGGACGAAGAACGAAGAAGATGACTTGGAACCTTTCTTGGAGCAACCTTTGTGAACCTCTCACAAACTTCACCTCACAAGTTCCTCTCTCCTCTCTCTCTCTCTCTCTCTCTC